GTTATTCATGTGCACATTTCAAAACTAAAATGAAATAGATTGAAAATATTTTGACAATTTTAAAAGCTAAAATTCGACATGACGAAAAGGGTAAAATATACTTACCAATTACAGGTAAGGTGATACACACACTTTAGATATTTTTCAACATATTAAAAAAAATTATTTGTTCATAATGCCGAAAATATATTTTTTTTATTTTACAGAATTCAATGATCGACATGACTTAATACAATATATTAACTTTGCAGACAGTTTAAAATAAATATCAATTTCCTTGCAAAATATCAATTTTCTCTATATATCTACCTAATTAGCATTTTCACTATATATTTAAGTGGTCAGCATTTGCTCGCCTGAATGAAGGTTAAATTTGCTGACCATATAGAAAAAGAAGAGTTTTACGGCTTTTATCAATTTGAATTAATATTAAATTGATCAGCATTTTATTTTTTGTACTAAATTTAATCGTTGACATGACTAAATACAATATATTAACTTTGCAGACAACATAAAATGAATAATAATTTCACGGCAAAATATCATTTTTCTCTGTACATCTTTCTCGCTTGCATGTAAAGAGCGTTAAATTTACCGAACATATAGAATAAGAAGTTTTACGGCCTTAAATAAAATTAAATTAATATCTAGCTGATCAGCAGTTTTTCACCAAGTTAAATGGTCGGCATGATTTTATAAAATATGTTTTCCTGAATGTAAAGGGCGTTAAATTAATTAATTAATGAACTAAACAAAGAAACAATCTTTTTAGAGCTAATTTCCTTCGTAAACTGTATGTAAAATTTACGGCTAATTGATCCACATTTTATTTATGTTGTTGTGTGATATATCCAAAGATGGTCATTTGTGTTTTTCACACCATGCAATTCGATCTCAATCTGATTAAAGGGTAATAAAACTTAATTGATGGAATGTTTTCACAAGATTTTTGGGTGTGAACATACATATGGGGCCAATCAGTTATATGTCATTGATCAATTTTGCATTCCAATCAATTTATTAGCCGAATGAGAATTCCTTTATTCATAAGTAATTGAAAATAAGAACTGCATAAGCCAAACCCCGCCCAATTTTACAGCTAAATGATTATGGTACGGTCTCAGAAATATGAATGAATGAATGAATGAATGAATGAATGAATGAATGAATGAATGAATGAATGAATGAATGAATGAATGAATGAATGAATGAATGAATGAATGAATGAATGAATGAATGAATGAATGAATGAATGAATGAATGAATGAATGAATGAATGAATGAATGAATGAATGAATGAATGAATGAATTGAATGAATGAATGAATGAATGAATGAATGAATGAATGAATGAATGAATGAATGAATGAATGAATGAATGAATGAATGAATGAATGAATGAATGAATGAATGAATGAATGAATGAATGAATGAATGAATGAATGAATTTCTTACTGTATCTGCTAATCGAGTTAATTATTAATGTTCTACAACATTCTCAAAAGGTTATTCATGTGCACATTTCAAAACTAAAATGAAATAGATTGAAAATATTTTGACAATTTTAAAAGCTAAAATTCGACATGACGAAAAGGGTAAAATATACTTACCAATTACAGGTAAGGTGATACACACACTTTAGATATTTTTCAACATATTAAAAAAATTATTTGTTCATAATGCCGAAAATATATTTTTTTTATTTTACAGAATTCAATGATCGACATGACTTAATACAATATATTAACTTTGCAGACAGTTTAAAATAAATATCAATTTCTTTGCAAAATATCAATTTTCTCTATATATCTACCTAATTAGCATTTTCACTATATATTTAAGTGGTCAGCATTTGCTCGCCTGAATGAAGGTTAAATTTGCTGACCATATAGAAAAAGAAGAGTTTTACGGCTTTTATCAATTTGAATTAATATTAAATTGATCAGCATTTTATTTTTTGTACTAAATTTAATCGTTGACATGACTAAATACAATATATTAACTTTGCAGACAACATAAAATGAATAATAATTTCACGGCAAAATATCATTTTTCTCTGTACATCTTTCTCGCTTGCATGTAAAGAGCGTTAAAATTTACCGAACATATAGAATAAGAAGTTTTACGGCCTTAAATAAAATTAAATTAATATCTAGCTGATCAGCAGTTTTTCACCAAGTTAAATGGTCGGCATGATTTTATAAAATATGTTTTCCTGAATGTAAAGGGCGTTAAATTAATTAATTAATGAACTAAACAAAGAAACAATCTTTTTAGAGCTAATTTCCTTCGTAAACTGTATGTAAAATTTACGGCTAATTGATCCACATTTTATTTATGTTGTTGTGTGATATATCCAAAGATGGTCATTTGTGTTTTTTCACACCATGCAATTCGATCTCAATCTGATTAAAGGGTAATAAAACTTAATTGATGGAATGTTTTCACAAGATTTTTTGGGGTGTGAACATACATATGGGGCCAATCAGTTATATGTCATTGATCAATTTTGCATTCCAATCAATTTATTAGCCGAATGAGAATTCCTTTATTCATTGGTAATTGAAAATAAGAACTGCATAAGCCAAACCCCGCCCAACTTTACAGCTAAATGATTATGGTACGGTCTCAGAAATATGAATGAATGAATGAATGAATGAATGAATGAATGAATGAATGAATGAATGAATGAATGAATGAATGAATGAATGAATGAATGAATGAATGAATGAATGAATGAATGAATGAATGAATGAATGAATGAATGAATGAATGAATGAATGAATGAATGAATGAATGAATGAATGAATGAATGAATGAATGAATGAATGAATGAATGAATGAATGAATGAATGAATGAATGAATGAATGAATGAATGAATGAATGAATGAATGAATGAATGAATGAATGAATGAATGAATGAATGAATATTGCACTGTTAATTATTCGTTATCAACCATAGACCAGAGCAATGGCGGAAATATTTCTTTTGAGGTTGTTTAGATGTGCGTTTACCACGGGACCGGCAATATAGTTGTAGGAAATATCAGTCTTTCTATTCGCCATCATTTTCTGAAAAATAATTTGAAAGCTTCAGAACAACTTAACCTTAAGAACATATCGGGAAAAGTAATTTGCATTTGTTACAGCAAGTTTATTTTCCCAAATATCCTTTATTTTGTGTGCTTAGGTTCAAGAAAAAAAAATATCCTTAAAGTCACAATAAAATTAATTTACTGCCTCGTTGCTCTCATTTGCATTAAGACGGGAATCGCTGGACCGTCGATATGCTACCAATCAGATAATTTTGACCGTTTTAGAGGTTATCCAATGAAATCAGGTGATCACGCGCTGCCTTTCGCGACTGGCCAATTAGTAGATCTTGACCACGCCTACCAGTTAATAATAATTAGTGGTCTGTATGTATTTTAATTAGTTTAAGACATTAACATAATCAATGCCATCTTTGATTATTCTAATGCAAAAATTTCAAGTTTTATGGCTTTAAAATTATTAGCGTCTATGAAAACGCGCAGATAAATATATCCCTGCACGCAAAGTAATAAATGAAAAAATAAATAATAAATATATATATATATAATATATAATTTATTTATTTATTTATTTATTTATTTATTTATTTATTTATTTATTTATTTATTTATTTATTTATTTATTTATTTATTTATTTATTTATTTATTTATTTATTTATTTATTTATTTATTTATTAAATCATCATTCATTCATTCATTCATTCATTCATTCATTCATTCATTCATTCATTCATTCATTCATTCATTCATTCTTCCAATCAATCAATCATTCAATCAATCAATCATTCATTCATTCATTCATTATAATATTTATTTATTTATTTATTTATTTATTTATTTATTTATTTATTTATTTATTTATTTATTTATTTATTTATTTATTTATTTATTTATTTATTTATTCGTTCATTCATTCATTCATTCATTCATTCATTCATTCATCCATCCATCCATCCATCCATCCATCCATCCATCCATTCATCCCGTACGAAAAAGATAGCAGGATTCCGCCTAATATAAGCAGGAAAACGCTTAAAATTTCCGTGTATATAAGATTTTCCTGCTAATTTAAGACGGACATGGAATTTTGTAAAAAATCCTGCTAAGCAATTTCATATTCCGCCTAAGGCTTAGGCGGAAAATATAGGATGAGCAATAATTTAGGCGGGTTTTAGGACTTAGAATTTTGTCAGTTATTTGTTAACAGGAATTATGTACTTAGACTTTTTTGTTAACCAGAAATTGAACTTAGAAATTTTTACTAGACAGATTTTCTGAATTTAGAGAAATTTCTGCAGAAGACAAGTAAATTATAAATCGAATAAGTGATCAACAATTATTTTGCTGCTTTTATTCATTGTTAATTTTCAAAACTAAAATATTGTTTGTACAAACATAAATATACATAATCATTAATTGATAAAAAAAAAACTCCACTACAAAACTAAAACTTAGAACATAATTATATAATGATTTTGTGGTGACTTTTGCATAGAATATATTTCACTGTGTTAAATTTGGGTATGAAACTAAACTCATATATTAAGCTTATTAATGTAATATAATTAAATGAGTAATATCCCTGAAAATTTCTTATCAACAGGATAAATAAATAAATACTGCCTCTAGTAACCACTCTACTATGATTTTACACCACAGACCTGATAACACACAGATCAGATCGTAAATTCTGCTACAGTCCAGACTGTTCCATGTGATTTATTTTGGGGAAAGCAACAGTTACTTAGTACATTTTATATGAAGAGTCTGTTAAGAAGGACTTTGCAAAGTTTTTTTTTTAAATATTTATTATGAATTTTGGATTCTTTTTCCATTTATTTTCTGGTATGTTTATATAATTGTGAAAATGAAATGGTGGGTTGGATTATCCCTGTTTACCATCATATCATGGACTTGTCCATAATTTGAAATCTAGCTAAGAAATATGGGTCAGCAGAAGCTGAGACAGTGGAAATAAAGCAAATAACAAAGGATTTTATTGATAGTTAAAAATTGTGGTGATAATATATAAGCAATTTTTGAGATAATATTTTGTTTAAAGTGTAAGGATTGAATATTTTTGAATTTTTCAAAGAAAAAAAATTAAGACTTAGCCTTGTGAATGAAAATGACAATAATCTTGATATGCTCAGTTGTAAAGGAATTTTGAATGCTACATTATGACCTTGGACAAGAAGATAAATACCAATATCATAAAAATTCAGGTAAGTAACTTTTGGATACATTTAAACAATAAAAATATATTTCAAATATATTAAATAATTTTGCATTAATTTTGAGAGTAAATTTGTAACACTAAGGTTGGTTGTAATGAATTATAGTTTAAATGCATGTATAATTATAACTGCATACAATGACAAGAAACAATAATATAAGATATTAGTGGTGGCAGTGTTTTACTGATGACTGTTTGTGTTTCAGGATATGTCTCAAACTGGTGTAAAAAGAATGGGAGAGGAGGAGACAAGGATATCAACGATGCCGCATAACTCAAAGCAGATCAGTTATGCTTGGAATAAAAATGAAAACAACTGGCTGAACAGAAAACATTTACAGTGAAATAAAATGAAATAATTTGCCATGGATTAAAACAATACAATAGCAGTGCAATAAAAATATATCTCGTGTTTCTGTTTTTTGTGTGTGACTCTTTTACGTACTGTACATGCACCCTAATTTAGAAAAGATATGGTAAAGCTCACAAAGATAACTTAAAAGCTTTGTAATTGTGATCACCTATTGTCTGTCTGTACATTTTGGATTCCAATTATTCTTATGCAGCTAAATAATAATGTTGTATCCATCCATATAATTCAGCTTTATTAAGTGTACCATCACAAAATTGAACAACTTCATTTCCTAAGGCGGATTTTTTGCTAGTATTCCTTAGAAAGAATTTTCTCCTGCTAGTGATTTTTCTAAGTAGGTATTTTTTTCCTGGTTAAAATATTTTAGGCGGAATTTTTTCCGGCTAAGAATTTTCCTAAGGCGGAATTTTCTCCTGCTAGTGCTTTCCTTAAGCTGAATTTTTTCCTGGTTAAATTTTCCTAGGCGGATTTTTTTCCCTCTACCCTAACTGTTTTCCTCCTAAGAAAATTTGCATATTTCGCAGCGTATTCCTGCTTATAGGAGGAATCTGTGATATGTAAACCTGAAATGCCTTAGACGGATTACGCCTAGTAGCTAGGAGGAATTTCTGCTTTTTTCAGGGCGGAAGTTTTCGTACGGGATTCATTCATTCATTCATTTATTAGTTTTATTTGCACTGCGCGCTCCTAACCAATTTATTTATGTTAGTACGTACTAATAAACTTTAACCTATACTTATTAAATATTTCATTGTAAAATTTGGTTCGTAAGAATAGATATTTGTTTTAATACACTGTGAACAGAATGACGTTCTACGACATTGCGCTGGCACCCTTACTTCACGATATGCAGACGATATTTTACTTCTGCTTACTATATACATATATTTAAACTGCCACTTACACATATTATAAAGTGGAATTGTTTTCCTTAAATGCAATCTGTTAAAAAGCCTATCTGTTAGTAAAGCTGCCATAAAAAAGTATCTCGATAAATGATTGTTTGCGAAATCAGTGAAGTTCGTGAAACTCGTCTTTATTTTGCCGCTCCCGGTTTTTCTATTTTTGTGTGTGTATGTGTGTTCCCTGCCCGGCTTCTCAACCTTATAAAGATGTGATTGTTCGTGCGCGATATTTCTAGCAGGAATGTATGCGTGTGTTCCCGTCTCGGTTTCCCAACTTAAGCTATGATTTCGTGTATTGCCTATCTTGTAGGTATAATTTCTTATATTATGATCTATTTTAACCAAGAAAATTTTATAAAAACAACATCATACTTAATTCTTATCACAGAGCATGTATTATGCATCTTGCACAGAGGATATAAAGGGGATATATCGATTATTGTTTTTCATTTTTTTTTGTATTAATCTGGAGACAGTGTTTTCTTGCTTTCTTTATAAAAGAATGGATCCTCACCTATTTTTCTATTAATTTGCAAGTTATACCTTTGCTTTTTGCACGGTCCAATATTTAAGTGTGCATTTTTCACGCTTAACATCTTATTTCAGCGTATTCATTTCTAAATGTAGTTGTTCAGTGTTTGTATCTAGGTAAGCGCCCGTAATTACAATGAGAGGTTATTTTTAGTATATAATACATCCGTAATGATTTTTTTTTTCAATGTAAAAGTAAATCATAAAGTATGTATAGGCATTTTTTGTCAGCCACCGCCCCCATTCTTTTCCTTTAATTGATCGCATTATGTTGTGATATTTCTCGCATCGCGTTATTAAATCATCGATATGATTTTTCCATTTTCAAGTTTATCAAATTTCATTCCTAGTAATTTCGCCGGATACTTGTACCGATTTCTTTGTTTTTCTATAAATATAATTTGCTTTTTGATAGATTTTATTATGAAACCGTATGCTTTAGTCCAGTCATCTATTTTAGTTAGTAGTGTTTTTATTTTTTCTATGAATTTACTTATTTAAGATGGTATTTTACTTAATATATTTAAAAAAATGTCAACGACTCCAAGCAATTAATTAAAATTTGTTTACATGTTTAGTTTCTTTTTATAGATTAAACCGAAACACCGTATCCGTTCTGTATATTCTTGATATTCGACGAGACTGACGAATAGGGCCGAAAAGTTGCGACTTGATTTCTAACAATGCAATTCCGCAATTTTGGTCATTTGTATTTCAAGAGATAACTTTGAAATGTTGAACCTGATTCTTTATCTTGTAGATGCTTGTTCTGATCGAGGTAATGCGGTCAAAGCGCCTTAAGACCCCGATCAGATTAAGACAGCACCTCCGGATGCCTGATATTTATGATTGTCAAGAGTAAGGTACCCGTCTGTAGATTTTCCACAGTCTTTCTGGAAAAACTCTGGAAAATAACTGATTTTCCATGAATTTCCATGAATTTTCATGGAAACAAGCTTTTTTCCACAGTATTTACAGAGTACTCTGGAACAATTTTCATGGAGAACTCTGGAACTTGACTTTTTCATCAAAGAAATAACCATGAAACAGTTCTGGAAACTCTGGAAAGTTAACACTTAGACAATTTTGAAGGAGTTTTACTCTGGAAAACACTAAGTCATTTTTGAGAAAGTTTTGGACTTAGGAAATTTTCATTTTATTTTTGCATTTACATATACTTCACTTAATACATTTAACTTTAATATTTTTTCCTAAGTAGGCATAATTAATCTTTTTAATATAAGACAGTTTTCTGGTTTTAAGACATAATGAAAATAAAGACAATTTAAAATATGGCAATGACACAATTGTAAATTGTTGAAACAGCAAGAACAAATGAATTTAATTACTTAGCATTGAGATTGGTCATACATGTGTACTAATTGTAATTACAAGTAGCATAATAAGCCCCTCAAGAGCTCAACTGTTTCTTTTTTATTGCAAACAAAAACAAAAACAAAAAAAAACATGCAACTCCATTGCCACACTTTGGCATTGAAAATGTATTAAGGTATTTTTTCATTTAACTCTCATTATTTTCAAGGTATCTCATATCAAGCCTCAGATCTGAGAGGTTCATTATTATATATTACCCTCAGTTAGAAAAAATAAATACACAAATAAAGAGAAACAAGTTAAATTTAAGAACAAATGTAATTGTTATGCACTTATGTTTCTTTATTAATTGATGATAAATTTATTATGTATCTCTATTGAAGTATATATTTTATCTATATATTCATCCTGTGTAGAAGTAACTTATGTATAGTGATTAATTTCTGGAACATTCAAATCAGCATCAGACACAATGTAAATATTTATGACCTCTCAAGTGGAACCCACTGTTTTCATAAACACCAAAAATGCGTTCCAGAATAAAAAAGGAAATTCCAGATGTCCTTTTTCCGGGGGTCTACCTAAAGACACTTTTTCAGCAACAAATTTACATGCAGAGAAGAGCGAATGAGTGTTGCCAAACTTAGAGGAATAATTCCCCTATCTTTTAAACCTCAAACGCATTGTACCTGTCCGTTTGCAGATGATATCCCTTCATCTTTTTTCGAAGGATAATGTTGGAAATCGTTGTTCGGAGTTATTTGATGAACACATATACGTATACATTAGAAAATGTATTTCTTATACTTTTAAAAGGATAAGTAATACTGTCATTAATGCAGTTAATTCTCCGTAATTGGTATAGTGCAGGCATATGGACTAATACTGTTCAATTAAATTAATATACATGATACATTTTTCATCGCATTCCTCATACGTTAGTATGATCTTTGCCTTTGATTGTTATTTATTGAGATGAAAATGTTGCATGATATATGGTTTACCCCTGTTTTATTGAAGAGGATATGATCAACGACAAAATGGATAGTAATAATATAACTCAAACATTTGTTTTATTTTTGTGACAATTCGTTACTTTATTTAACATTTTCCATCATACATCATATTGTTACAATGAAAATATGTAGTAAGTAAACAACAAAAGTAA